GACCTTAAACGGTATCTGAGAAAGCTTCGGAATTCCCGACATGAAGTAGAAAGTAACTTACCTAAAACTAAACCTCAATTTGACCATTCACATCTCCTTCCTGAACTTCCTCTTTTAAACCCTTCCCAGAACAGACCTTTTAATGGAAATACTCAAGACTCGTTAAAACCAGTTTATACAAATACTAGTGATAAATCTTATCGAAACCGGACCCTCTCTAATTTTTGCTCGTATCCAAATCCTTCGATTACAGAAGAATCCGATGAGAAACTAGCTAATATTCCGACCCCCTCCATTAAAAGTTATATTAAAGACATGAATAAATTAGATCCAATCCCTATCCCTCCTGGCTTTTCCCCTCTAGAAGAAATAAATGTTGTAGAGAACCCTAACGATTTAAACAATCAGATGAGTGAAGAAATTGTATTGGATAAAAGAATTACAAATGAAATTATTAATAAAAGACCCATTAGTCCCCCTCCCGGCTTTACTCCTATTGATGAAGTTTGTATTATTAGAAATATTTGTAAAGAATTCACCCCCTTAAAAGAGACTATAAATGAAGATAATGAAGCTAAAGCTTATAATTATTCAAAAGAAATGCCCCTTGTTTTAACAAATAACTCAATTCCCGATTTATTCCCAGAACGTCCCCTTATATCTCTTGAAAATCTACAACAGTCTATTTCACCTGTTAATTTTAATTTTTCATTTGGAACTACTAATATTAATTCATCAGAAACTGATTATATTCTTACATCAGAAGAGATATTGGAAGAAAATAAACCATTACCCCCCACGCTTAATTATCTGGAAATTTTTTGTATAGAAAAAGGAAAAGAAAGCCCAATACCTCGTAAAAGACAAAGGAAAAAATTACCCAAACAATTAAACCGAGAACCAACGATTATAAACAATTCCCGATCCGATGTTATTGCCTGTCAAATACATCTTAAGAGATTGAAAATAAGCCCTCGGAATAACCGTAAATACTGTATTAACCCCTTTAAGTTTAATGCTATTTTAAATGGTTTTAAACAAATCCATGATCAGAATCCTTGCTCTCCCCTACCTTCATTAAAAATGTCCCGAATAAAAGGAAATGAAAGTCTTACTCCTAAAAACCTGTTTTCTACTTTGGCTAATCTTAATTTGTCTGAAATACAATGTGTTCATCATTCTGTGATTAATTGGAAGGAGATTCTTTCGAAAATTAAACAACACGATACGTTGATGCATATTATTTATTAGGCCACGACATGGATGAGGAACATGACCGAGAATAAACTTACCGTCAACAAAAATTGGTAAAATTAAATTTAAATATAAAGAAAATAATTTCCCCAAAATTTTACCCTCTTCTTAATGGACCAACAATGCTTATACCGAGAATATGAATATGACCCCTCTAATCTTACAACATGCCGATAAATGAAAATAAAAAAGGACGAGAAGAGCTGATCATCCAACCTGGGACAGAAATTTGGAAGAATTGAAAGAAAAATGGATAACCAATTATTTTGAAATTTTGTTATACTTACCCGGACCCCCTCCACCCGTCCCTGCACCTAAACCCTTATACCCACATCTCCTCTACGCCTTCATCTAAATTTTTTGGGTTTCTCCCGAATGTCAAATCTTTTAGATTTGAATATTTTTTAATTATTAACCTTTGGCCGAAATTTTTGTCCATATCTTTAAAATAGTTGCCCGCTCAAAAAAAAATGTTAATTATGGCGGGCCAAAAGGCCTTTTTTGAACCTTGCATCCCTGCTCTTTTTCTCCCCATTCTTTTAAATCTCTAGCCCGCTCAATTTAACTAGGAAAAGCTCCTTTGTATTTTTTGTGTATTTTGATCCTGTCTGAAAAATGTCCTTTCTCTTCCCTATCGTTCTATCTTTGCAACCCTTTGCACGGGTTATTTTGGCCAACTAATTTTGGATTAAAATGTGCAAACACCTCCTTCTTTTTGCACATATCAACCCGAATATATAAATGGAATTTTGAGCAGTTTGGCTCAGTTTCTGAACTATTCCTTCCCCTCGATTAAAGTTAAAGTTTTAAAGTAAAGTTTTTTGAACTACATTTTTCCTCCCCCTGAAGATTTGTTATTGAAGTTTTTTATCCGTTCCTTCCCCAGTCAGATTTGAAGTTTCTCCCCCTTTTGATTTTCCTGATATATGTTTGTTAAAAGATTTGGGCCCATTTTGAAAGGAGAATATTTACTTGTTAAATTGTTAATTTTGATAATTGGAAAATAAAAGTTGTTAAAGAATTTAGTTAATTTTTGGATTTATTTAATTTAATGTATTTTCCCTCCCCTTTTATTAAAATTCTGTTTAGAATTTTACAGGAGTGCCTCTTCAAGGAGAAAAACAAATGATAATTGATTTTGGTGACGATGGCAATCTGTCACCAAAAAATGGTGGCGCAAGAACTGCTAATCTGCCATTGCATTTTAATCCACGCTTCGACACCGGCGCGGTAAAATTTCAACATTTCTTCTATAAAATTAAAATAAATTTGAGGTTCATACAAGTAGTTGGGTAGTATACGGAGGATGGGATGTTGAGCATATTTATGGTAATCCATTTAAAGTTGGAAAACCTTTTATTTTGGAATTTTTTGCATCGCCCAGGGATTTACTATATGTAATTTTCTTGTTGATGAATTTTTTAAATTTAATTTTTACTAGATCTATGTCAATAATAAATATTTTGCAACTGTCTATTATTACGGTTTGAAGGGTTATCACGATTTGAAGAATGTTAGTCAACTATATATTTATGGGTTTCGATTAGACTCCTTGATTATATGTCATTGAATATGTATCAACTACAATAGAATCAACGGGTATAACAAAATAAACATGGTTTCAACTGAATATTAAAGGGAATAATGAAGTTTTGATTGTCTAGTTATGGATAGAGACCGGACTGGGAAGGTCGTACGAGAATCGTACGGGATATCTCAAAAAATCTCGATAATCGAACGATTTTCTTTCGAAATCTCGTCTCGATCCAGGCTCTAATAATTACTATAATTGTCAAAATTATTCTGAATTATTGTATGTTTAATGTTTTTTAATGAGATTAAAAGAAATATAGATGGATTTGCTCGACTTAAGGCTGATATCGTGTTTGGGAGGATTAACAGAGATATTAAGTTATTTGGTCGGATTAAGATGATGATCAGCCGATATGTAGGGATATCAGTGAATTTTTATCTCTTTATATCGTCGCATTTAATCACTTTATATCAATACTGACCGATTGTCCACTGACGCATTTTCCACTGACGCATTGTCCGGGAGCCCTTCATGAGGGGTTGCCATTCGTATTTACCTATTTTGTAACTACAGTATTTACAAATCGACCTTCGTCTTACAGAATTGAAATTGTATTTATTTGTAAATACCCACAAATGGACTTTTTGATTAAAAAATTAAATTCACCCTTAATATCCTTTAAAATTTGTGTCTGCGGCGTAAAAAATCCTTACTGAAAAAACCACTAACAAAAGCAAACTTAGTAAAAATGACCATACCTAGTCAGTATAAGGATCAAAGGAAATAAGGGAAAAAGTAAGGAAAAATATCAAGCCGGCACCAGACCTGGGCGAAACTCTAAATTTTTTTTGGACGAAACGAAACGAAACAAAAATTTTTAAAAATCGTTTCGTTAACAAAACGAAACGAAACAGTGAAAATTTAACGAAACGAAACGAAACAAAACGAAACATTTTAATATCGAAAAAATTTTCAAAAAACATAAGTATTTTCTCAATTATTCAATGTAAGCAAATTAATTGGCCATTAATGACATTTTTGCCATCATATAATTATGTGGGACCACAAATTGTGGTCCCATTAGCCACGGGGCAACAATTTGTGATCCCAATTTGTGTTTAGCCATTGCAAATCATTTTAAATGTTCATTTTTCTCTTAATTTCACCTAATTCCCTATATCGCCATTAAGCCCGTAGCCAGGATTTTTTGTGGGGAAATTTTCGGCGCCGCTTAAAATTATGATTTTCAGCGCCGCAGGCGAAAATTTTGAGAATTTTAGAAGGCTGTAGACAAAAAATTCCTTTTTTCTGCGCCGCAGGCGAAAATTTTTTGAATTTTGAAGGCTAATAGGCCAGATTTCTTCCTTTTTCAATAAGGCAAAAAAGGCAAATGCCTCCCAAATGAGCCTGGTACAAACTAAAACAGGGTGGTATGTACACTTGCCTCGATATCTCTTCCCACAAAATCCCTCGATATTACTATTAATCCCCCAATTTCTCCGATATCCCCATTAAGCATAAAAATGGGGATATCGGTGTATAAAACATAGTCGAGTATAGAACATAATATAAAGAATTTTTGAACAAAAACATATTGTCAATTGAAAAAATCAAAAATAATCTTGTAAATTATGCGCTGAAGACTCTAAAAATAATCTTGAAAATTATGCGCTGAAGACTCTAAAAATTCAGATTTCGGCTCCGCAGGCAAAAATTTTTTGAATTTCCATCACCAAAGTGGAAAATTTTTCAGTTTTTGAGTGATATTTTGGCTTAAAAAGTACCTAATGTTTCGTTAACGAAACACAGGTGTTTCGTTAACAAAACGAAACGAAACAAATTAAAAAGTGTTTCGTCACGAAACGAGACGAAACAGTAAAAAACATAACGAAACTAACGAAACAACGAAACGAAACGAAACGTTTCGCCCACGTCTGGCCGGCACGATTTACATATAGAGTCAAAAATTCTTTTTTATTCCACAATTCTAAGTAATTTAAGCTTTCCAATTTTACAAGTAAAAATTAAATTTCGTAACAAATTATATATCATTTTTATATTATCTTCAAATTTCTGTTTATTTACATAGAATAACTCGGCTCAATTGGATTGCCCCTTCAATCGACATTTGACTGACTTTACTCAAATCATATCGGTTAATGCCGAAAGCGTTGCCGTTTACAATGGCCTAATGAATAAAAAATTAAATAAATTATTGTAAAGAATTAACTACATGTATCCAATTATTTGATGATGGACGTATTTCCAAAAAAAGTGACTCTCCAACTTTAAAGGGAAAGCCTTTAGGACGATAACGATATTCTTGTTCCCATCCTTTGCCTACAATCCATGTGTTTAACATAAACTAAATAAGGTCCTTTTAGTTCTTACCATTTTCATATTTATTACCTGTGTTTCATTAAAAAGTAGACTGAAGCGGAATAGCACATTAGCATCTACAAACAATTGGCCAGGTTCACCAATGTTAATGCTAAAACTTTCAGGTTGTGCTAGAGGTGTCCCAAGAATTATAATGCGCTTTGGTGGTGCAAAGCCTGTTCCAAATCCGAGCTTCTTAAAGTCGATTACTGCCGGTACTGTCTTAATATTTTAAGGATCCTTAAGTTATCTCAATTAAAATCCTCTAACCAAATCCGTTAAAATAAAGCGTCCAGGACAGAATGGTTCTCTATAACATAATTGCACAGAGCTAAGCTCAACTGCCGAAGATACCTCCACTAGGCTCAATCTAGGTAAATCCTTTAGGTAATAATGTAGAAATTCCTTTCCATCAATATGAACCTGAAAATAATATATTAAATATTCCTGTTGACGAATAATTCCATATTAAATATCCTCTAATTAATTACAATGAATCCATTTTTTGATGCCGAAATAAAATCCAGAACGAAAGGTTCTCCAATTTTGAAAGGAAATCCTCCAGAACGTTGCTCTATCCACCAACCATTGGTTGGTGACCACCAGTTTCGAACTACCTTACATAATTATTTTTTATATTCAATTTTCTCAAATTATTCTCGACTCACCTGCCTTTCATCAAACCGTGGATTAAAGTGAAATATAGTTAGCGCAGTCTCACCTGGTACTCCATCACTATACAAATTAATGATAAAACGTTCACTTGTATTAGTATATACACCAGTAAATCGAATTCTCTTGCTTAGTCCAAAACCGGGTCCAAATTCTGTCTTCCAAAGATCTATTATTGCTGGTCGACTCTTAAATTTTAAAACATAAATGTTATATTAAGCAAAATATTTAAATAGTTAAAATCGAATTTCAGTACTAATTAATAGAAAATAAGATATTAATCAAAAAAATTGTTTTACCGGATACGGTATATCGATATGCTTAAAGCGACAGAAAGGAGGTGGCGTAGTCGGTTCCTCTGCTTCGATTATTGTTACCATAAAGCTAGTACAAATTATTATCAAAACAAGTGTTATCAACTAAAATTTGAATTCTTGATTATAAATTAAGAATCTTGTTTACCTTCATTATTAATAATTATTTAAATTTTAATTTTTATTTTAATAAAATTCGCAAGAATATATTTATTAAATAAAAAAATTCTGACAATTTGAGTGTTTAAAATCAACCAATATCAATGAGGAAGTTAAAAGAAAGAAAATTTACGACAATAAAATTTGTTTAGGAAAAATTGAAAAATGTTTTTTTTTGGAAATTATATTCCTTATACAAACAAGAATTTAAAAAAATTTCCTTCGATATACATTTTAATAACAATTATTTGTTAGAAAGAAATTTTGATAAATTTTACTGCGTTTAAATGATCGGGAAGTCTTGCTTGTTGATATTTATTTTTTCTGCTAAACCATTTTTGAATTAAGAAACAATTAAAAATGTAAACAAATATTTTATTAATAAAACATATAAATGATTAATTTAACCAATTAGCTTTAACAAAATAAAATTTAAATTATTTTCAATAATATTATGTTTAGTCTAATAATGAAGGTAAGCAAAAATTTAGTCAAGAAATATTCAAATTTTAGTTGACATCACTTCTCATTTTGCAATTATTCGAGAGCTTAATGGCAACTACTATTGCCGATGTTTATAAAAATAATTGTACGAATCCAATTGTTTTTAATGATTTGGTAATCCCAACAATTATCGAATTTGGACTAGTCGGATTTGGAAAAGGATTTGATGTGCAAGAACGCATTATATTTAATGGGACGATCCTTGAACAGCCAGAACAATTTGAAATTAGTTTGGCAGAAGATGGTGTGTTTTACCAAACTGCTAACCAAACTGCTGATATTCAACTACACTTCAATCCACGCTTCCAATCCAAACAGGTGTTAATTCTATATTACTGGGAACCATCGAGCTTCGATCAATGTATAAGATAAAGCTTAAGAATAGTGAAATTAGATTTCGAAACTGAGCCTGGAAATGGTACTCTTATATCGTCGATATCTTCGTTAATACACTTAATAACCCGATATCCCCTTAATCCCTCAATATCTTCCAAATCTCGTAATAACTCAAAATCCAAGTTATCGAAAAATACCTTATTATAGCGGGAATACATATTACTTACTGTATTATAAAATTATTTATTTGAGGTTGTTCGTAACACAAGGATAAAAGGCATAGGATGGGGTCGTGAAGATATTTCAGGTGGTTTTCCATTTAAAGCTGGAGAACCTTTCATTTTGGAATTTGTTGCAATCCCCAGAGATGTAATTTATGTAAGTGTATTCTATTTATTTTATTTAAAATTTATTTTTTTGTAGATCAGTATCAATAATAAATTTTTTGCATACTTCCGTAGTTATACTTTGAGTCAAATTAGTCAAATATATGTTTTTGCAAAAAACACCGTTCGAATCAACTCTTTAACATTGTGTCCCAATGTTCTGAAAGTTAGAAAATTACCATCAACGGAGGCACCAACAACGCCTTATCCACGTTGCCCCAAAACTATAGATTTACACAACGTGGTTAGAGGATTTTTTACTTAATAATATTTTAAATTAAATGAATTAGATATTCATCAGTAGGGTTGTCGGTTCTTGAAAATCTTTGGGTATCCGCAGCTGGACCGTATCCGTCTTCTTTTCAAAATTTCATATCCGTATCTGAGGATATATCAGAACTTGTGAAAACGTCTGACTTAAAGCATGGTCGAAAAATTGAACCGAAAAATTCTAGAGTTATCAGTTCTTGGAAAATCTTAAGGGTATTCGCAAAGCGATTCAACAGTGCCTCATCATGAGAGCTACTTATGGATTCAAAAAAATTTCAAGATTGACGATATTTAAAAACTTATGAAAATAAATTATCAAATTAAGCCAGTACCATCAACTATCGATCTTGTAAAAATCGGATTTGGGAAAGGGCTTAAAGTACCTACACGTATGATATTTAAAGGAGTACCTCTTCAAGGTACAACCGAATTTAAAATTATTTTTGGTGAGGATGGTATAATGTACAAAACTGCTAACGTGCCATTCCACTTCAATCCACGCTTCCAACCCGGCTTGGTACTACATATATTTCTACATTTAGTAAATTGAATTTAAAATTAATTTGAGGTCTTTATGCACAGTTGGACGGTAGAAAATGGAATGCGTCGTGAGATTGGTTTTCGTAATCCATTTAGAGCTGGAGAACCATTTATTTTGGAATTTGTTGCGACGCCTAGAGATCCAATAATGGCAATTTTCTACTTGATTTAATCTGGGTTTTAATTGAACTTTCATAGATTTATGTCAATAATATATATTCTGCAAGTTTCTATTATTACGATTTGAAGGATGTTAGTCAACTATATATTGAAGGGATTCGATTAGACTCTTTGATTATGTGTCCCAATGAATATGGATCAACTACATTAAAACAAACAAGTACAACAACAAAAACAACCCAAGACTTGTACCCAAGTGGAGATTAAAGAAATTATTGAAGTTTAATCTGCTATTAAGAATATTTTTGATTAAATAATTTGTAGATTGTGAAATATTTTTGGGATGAATAATATTATACTATTTAATATTGTAAAATAAACAAGAATAAAATGTGCATGTTGAAAAATATTTTCTCATCTGGTTAATCCCTATCTGCATAAATTAAGAAAAATTCGTCATATCTCTTATACTCCAATTCGGGCAAGCAATAAGTCATTCTAAAGAGCCCTGCTATCTGAGTCGAACAACACCAAAATTAGTTTCCGAAAATATAAATAGAATTTTTTTTTAGTTTTTTGGTCAGTGTTTTTTGATCATTGGGAAGAGTCGAAATTTTGCAATCGCCAAATCTTTTGAAAAAAGATTCAATAATGGAAACAGGCATATAAGCCCTGAAAGAGAATTGAATGGGCTATAAAATGAGTTAATAATATTAAAAAATATAGATAAGAAAAAAAGTTATGGCTAAATGAAAAGTGTCCTAAACTATTTTGATCATGTAAATTATGTATTATTGCTACCTAGGTTAGCTACAAATCTTTTCGTGAAATTCTCTAGCAGAAAAGCTCGATTCAGTCAAACCCGACGAGCTTGAAAAAATCGAACCTAGATCTAAACTATCGAGGAGTTCTTGATTATCATTAAGAACAAATCAGTCAGCCGATCTACTTGGACCTGAGGAGGAATGGGGACCTATGGAAACAACTTTTACAAACATTTAGAAATATCAATAAAGAAATTAAAATTGACAACCAAAATGTGTCTACAAAACATTAAACAGATAACAATAGTCATATAATAAAAAAATAACCAATGTAAATTGAAAATACAAAAAATAGATGCTTTATTTAACCAAACAAAATTTTTTTCAATATACCCTCACATCTAAATATCAAAAATAAAAAGGAATTAATAAATGTTTGAAATGAAGTGTTGTAAATTTTTTAAAAAATTACAAAACGTCATTTTAATAAGAATTAACACTAAAATGTAAACAATTTTATTAATAAAATCAAGCATTTAAATGATAAACGATTCAAACAATTATTTTAACAATAAAATAAAATTTTAAATATATTATTTTAAATTCAATAATGAAGGTAAACTTAATTTCAAACAAGAAAAATATTCAAATTTTAGTTGATAACACTTCTTTTGTTAATAATATGTGAGAGCTTTATGGTAACTACAATCGAAGCTGTAAAATGCAAAAATCCAATTATTTTTTGGAAAGGGTTCCAGCTGGTTAGAATTTACAATAGTTGTTTATAACACGCTTAGGCGGGGGTTAAACGATCTTTAAGAAGAGTAGAAGAAAACTTTTTCGCTCCGTGAGATCAGTTTCTTAAGCAACTGCAAGGGTGTAACCGAGTTCAAGACTTTGAGATAATTTATTAGAGAGAATTGCCAGGACTATTTCTCTCACTTTTTTAACCTACCGTATTTACTCGAATAATTCCCCTCTCTTGAATAATTACCCATGTTTCGGATGAGTTGAAACAATAATCCCCCTCCCCCAAATACCCTACTACACGTTCAAATTTCAAAACTCGAATAATTCCCCTCCCTTGAATAATTCCCCATGCCACGGGTGGGTTCAAACAATAATTCCCCGGGGGAATTAATCGAGTAAATACGGTATATCGTATTAATATTTTTAATTTTTAAGAAGTTTCCAATAATTTTTAATCTTGAACAATTATTTGGGAAAGGATTTTTACCGAATAAGAGTATTTTAATTAATGGAGAAGTTCTTGCAAACCCACAGGATTTTGATTTTGTGGTTAATTTGTTCGAAGATGGAGTGATGTACGAAACTGCTAACTTACCATTCCATTTCACTCCACGCTTCCATTTCAATCCACCTCGCGTAATTTAATAATTAAAAGTGGTTTTATATCCACATATTCATTTGAGGTTGTTCGTAACAATTGGTCAAAAGACAAAGGATGGGGACCTGAGGATACTTCTGGTAGTTTTCCCTTTAAGGCTGGCCAACCTTTCATTTTGGAATTTGTTGCAGCGCCAAAAAATACAATAATTGTGATTATTTCAATTTTTAATAGTGCTCCGACGGTGCCGTACTTTTTGCGGTATTTATGGATATTCTAAACCAAAGTACGGAAAATTAAAAAAAAATTTCTGTCCGTATTCATACTGCACCAATGAAAATTTCTCAATATTTATCGGTATCGCTATTTCAATATGGTACGAAATCTCGATCACTAATTTTTACCTCTATTTATTAATTTTAAAATTTATTTTTTTCGTAGATCAACATCAATAATAAACGTTTTGCAACTTTCTCTCGTGTGGATTTGAGTAAAATCAGTCAAATATATATTAATGGAATAAATTCAATTCTTGTTAACATTTTAACTTTGTGTCCCAATCAAGAAAAAAAGAGTTAGCTTTAAAATAAAATAGTTATCATTATGTAATCCTTGTAGGATGCCGCAACAAGATGCACT